GAATAGAATAGAATAGAATAGAATAGAATAGAATAGAATAGAATAGAGTAGAATAGAATAGACATTTATTGCAATTTATTGCAAAGCAATTTGAGATAGTGTAAGTATTTGCCGCAGCGCATCAATCGGCAAACAAGCGATGCTCTTACGAAATGCGACTCAGTGAGGAGATGGTCGACGTCTGATGCAAAAATGTACTATTGTATTGTATAAGTTCAATACCTACTTGTGTAATTATGCGTGGGAAAGCTAATTTTTCTTTAACACCCACTTTCTAAAAAAGAAAAGACATGTGTATGTATCTTTGGAACGCTTTTTAAACCGAGATCATCAATTAGGTAACTTTTGTCTCATAAGAAACCGTATTGTTGTATGCTCTCTTACAAATTTGTATGAAATGAAACGTTCATGCTTCAGAGTTGCCGACGTCGTTAATATCTGTTTCTAATGCCGACTTTTGGGTAAGCTGTGAAACGTGAATAAGAATGTGTGGTTCCGTACTTCTTGATAAATATACTGAATCAATCCGTCATTCATTGTTCATCACGCTTGCTTGTAAATGCAATCCTCGGGCCTTTTTTTCTATTACAGCCATAGTCCTCGTCGGTAAGGAGTTAAATTTGTAGCACCACGTACTTTCTTACATAGGTCAGGATCAAGTTCAAGCATGGAGGTTACTTAAGTTCAAAATTAAAATATTATCTAAATATTTTATTGATATTTAATTATTTTGTGTGTAAAAAATGTTAGGGAATTTACTAAATTTACATGCTTTCAATGTAGTGTAACAGTGTGCCGAAATAATGCACACATTTCCTTTCTCCTTGAAAAGGCCCAAGTAATAGCGTTCGGGGAATAAGTCTGCAGGGAAGGAATTTCACTCCAAACGCGTTCCCTTGAAAAGAAATCCTTGGTATATCCATAACATAGGGATGGAACGCCAGCCTTCGTCTAGTCCCCCATGATGCAAAGTGGAAGACGGTATTAAATCGTGCAATTCCATCGCCCATCCGTGATATATGAGTACCAGTTTCATGTAGTTAGTATTATTTTTATGACTTTTGTGATCGAAACATTATTGACGTATGATCACATGTGGCTTTATTGTATAGTAAAGGGCACGAATTATGATTTTATTCTCACCTATATTCGGTAGGGCTTGTCTATTGTCTCATCCATCCCGCATACGTACTCCTAATTCCCAGTAAAATGACCAGCGTTACAAATCGATTATAGCACAAAGGCTTGTTAATTGTTACGATTTTATAGTTGTAGCATTACCACAATGCGGCGTGAACTTTTGATTGGGAGAGCAGTCGGGCACAGAAGTGTGATAAATAAAAAATTGCCGGCCATCTCCAGACACTTGGAATGAACCGGTCGTCCAATTTGAACTTCAGCAGGTACATTGACACTACGATGAAAAATGTAGCTAGGTAGCTTGGCATCCTTACTAAGGTGAAGCGTTGGTTTTTATAATATCAAGTGACGGGACGAACAAGTCGTCTCCCTGATGGTAAGTTACACGATCGAAACGCGCGACGCAAGATCTGAGGGGCATTGCCACTGTGCCCGTCACCCTGAAACATAAGGTAACAAGTTCCCTAACTGCCTCCGTATAATGCCGAACTGCCACGCAGAGGTCCCAGAGTCGATCCCCGGAACGGTAGAAATATTTGTTTGGCCTACATTTATTTCTCTCGTGACTCTAAATGTAATTTGTGGTTATCTATGTGTTTCCCTGGGACTATGTTGAGTGTGTGCGTTATTATTATATGTGCCTGTAATTCCACCAGCACCCTTCCAAACCGGAACGCATTAATGATCACATCTGGCGAATGTGCTGCACGCGTGCTATTAGGTGTGTTTCTGTAGGCAAGCAAGCATAGTTGGTGCGCGAGAGTGCCTCTATCACGAGTTTAGTGTGACGGTTTTTGCTAGCGCCCTGGTGAATTACTTCACAATTTTTTATGGCAAATTATACAGCGCCCCTAGCGGTCACAAGAAGATACAACATTTTGTATACAAACATTTTACGCGGTCACCAGCGATAACTGTCACTGTAATCTTATGGTAGAGGCCAGAGACCTGAGTGTAAATTTGTAATCATTTGTTAGATAGGTGTTTGTATGTGTGCGTGCGTGGCTGCGTCCACCACCTATCGTCATTCAATAAACAGTGCGAATCGAACTGCCAGTCGTTTCACTTGTCTCACCTGCTCGCATATATAACAGTGGCGACGACTCGGTTGTGTTTACCCACATTTCTTTTGTGAAAATGTCGCAAAGCGTTAGTGCAAATTTCGGTATTTTAAGTAGTTTTGACCATAATGTGCATACGTGGAAAACATATAAAAGCCGAATAACACAGTGGTTTATAGCCAACGACATCAATAACAACAGCGACAAAACAGGAGAGAAACGACGTGCTATTTTATTAAGCGCACTCGCAGAAAGCACATACAAGCTCGCTTCAGACTTAGCGCTGCCAAAGGAGCTTGAGTGTGTACCATATCAAGATATACTGACTCTTCTTGATAAACACTTCACGCCAAAGCGGGTAGGATTCAGCGAGCGCCATAATTTCTACGCGGCTACGCAACTAGTTGACGAATCTCACAGGCAATGGGCGAGTAGACTGCGTGGTCTTACGGCTCACTGTCAATTCTCAAATGTGGAAGAAGCGCTCCGCGATCGATTTATCATGGGTATGCTGCCAGGGCTAGAAAAGCAAAAGCTATATGCACAGGATACGGCGGAGCTAACACTGGCAAAAGCGGTTGAGTTAGCGGAGAATCTCCGAACAGCACATACCGGTGCCGGGGCTGCGGCCCGCGGGTCCTCCAGCGACACCTCATCAGCTGACCAGCAGCTGTTCAAGATCGCGCCGAGTCATCAGAAAAACACAGGGTTGGCAAAATTAAAGTGTTCAGTGTGCGGATATAATAATCATAAAAGTTCGGAATGTCGTTACGCTAGCTATGTGTGCAAAAAGTGCAACGAAAAGGGCCACTTGCGTAGAATGTGTCGGAACAAAGTGAACTACGTCAGTGTGGGCACCGGTGCCGAGAGCGATGACGACTACGATGATGGTGAGTTATATAATATTCGCTCACAAAGAGGGGAACCCTTGATAGAAACTATAGGTATTAATGGTTCAAGTTTTAAGTTTGAAATTGATAGCGGATCTGCCGTCACGGTGATATCAAAAAAAATGTATCTAAAATGTTTCAAGTACGTGCCATTGTCTAAAACAAGCAAAAGGTTGATTACATATACAGGTAATAAAATAGAATGCATCGGGTTAGTTTGCCTACAAGTAGCGTACGCGAACAAGGTGCAGTCTCTGGATGTATATGTAGTGGAAAATGGCGGGCCTCCATTGTTAGGTAGGGATTTTATCTCGTTATTTAATTTGCAATTGTTACCGGTAAAGTATTGTGAGTTTAGTGATATTGCGGTCGAACAATTGCAAAAACGTTATCCCAGGCTGTTTTCGAATAAGCTGGGAGTATTTAATAAATATAAAATAAACCTGCCACTTAAGGAAGGTGTAAGACCGGTTTTTTTCAAAGCGCGCCCTATAGCATTCTCGCTGCGCGATAAAGTAGGTACTGAAATTGATAGATTAGTCAAGTTAGGAGTTTTGAAGCCGATAGAACACGCAGAGTACGCATCACCAGTAGTACCAGTACTTAAACGTAACGGTTCCGTTCGGCTATGTGCAGATTATTCGGTGACAATTAATAAACAGCTGGTCGTAGAACAATATCCATTGCCTACAATTAAAGAGTTGTTTTCAAAATTGTATGGAGGACAGCAATTTACTAAATTAGACCTGTCCATGGCGTACAACCAGTTTGTATTGGAAGATGAATCACAAATGATAACCTGTATCAATACTCATAAAGGCCTTTATAAATATACACGTTTAGTATTTGGTTTAGCGAGTGCACCGGCGATCTTTCAGCGTGCTATGGAATGCGTGCTAGCAGGTATGGAAGGGGTAACTTGTCTATTGGATGACATTCTAGTCACGGGCAAAAATAAGCATGAGCATGTGGAAAGGTTACATGCCGTACTTCACAGATTGGAAAGTGCAGGATTAACTTTGCAAAGAGAAAAATGCGAATTTTTTAAAAACGAAGTTCATTATTTGGGCTATATAATTAATAGTAAAGGGTTAAAAAAGTCACCAGAAAAGGTTCATGCTATTTTAAAAGCACCTGAACCCCAAAATGTAAGTCAACTTCAGTCTTTTTTGGGGCTCGTGAACTACTACAGAAACTTTGTTGCCAATGCTTCTTCAATATTAAGTCCACTGTATAATTTATTGAAAAAGGGTACTAGGTGGAGTTGGGAGCAAGAACATAGTGACGCATTTAAAACAATTAAATCACTATTAGCTTCCGACCAGGTATTGACTCATTATAATCAGAACGCAAAGTTAATCCTAACTGTAGATGCTTCTCCAACCGGTTTAGGAGCGATTTTGTCGCAGGTAGATAAAGACGGAATCGAGAGACCTATCTCATTCGCATCACGAACCTTAAACGCCGCAGAAAAACAGTATTCGCAAATACAAAAGGAAGCAACTGCAATCATATTCGGAGTACGGCGATTTCACCAATATTTGTACGCCCGATCGAGCCCGTTTACTTTACGTACTGACCATAAACCACTTATATCTATATTTAGTCCATACAAGGGTATTCCAGAGGTGTCGGCCAATCGTTTACAACGATACGCAATATTTTTGGGAGGCTATAATTATATAATTGAGTATATACGCAGCGCGGACAACAGCGCAGATTATTTATCGCGCGCCAGCCTGCCGGAGGCTGAGTCATCATCTATCACGCCACGCGTCTTGAATGGTTCCAAAGGGATGACGGCGGCGGCGGCGCAGGCGCAGCGAGACGACGATGACAGTGCATACGACCGCGCCGCCTATGTTTGTTTCGTGGTAGAGGGGAGTATGCCGGTGACAGTAAGTGATATCCGCAATGAAACAAACACAGATATAATTTTAAGCCAGGTAAAAAAATATGTAATGAACGGTTGGCCGAATAGGGTTTCCGATTTAAAATTAAAACCGTATTTATTATGTAGAACACAGTTAGCATATGAAAATGGTTGTGTCATGAGAGGACATAAGGTGGTGATACCTGAGAGATTACGAAACAAAGTTTTATCAGACTTGCATACATCACATTTAGGGGTAGTAAAAACAAAAGCAGAGGCGCGCTCGCGATTTTGGTTTCCTGGAATCGACGATGCCATCGAGAAAATGATAGGTACTTGCAATATTTGTATACAGCTCCGTACTTCGCCAGCGCGTGCGCCTATTTCACCGTGGGCCCATCCCCCACGACCCTTTTATAGGTTACACATTGATTTCTTAGGCCCAATTAATGGACATTCGTATCTAGTTATAGTCGACGCGAGTACCAAGTGGGTGGAGGTGTACGACATGATTACAAATACTACGACATCCGCTGTAGTTGATAAAATGTGCGACTGTTTTTCAAGATTTGGCTTACCTAATACAATCGTTAGTGACAATGGCACGGCTTTTTGTTCAAAAGAGTTTAGGCATTTTTGTTCATTGAACGGAATATCACATGTGACGTCACCTGCTTATCACCCGGCAAGCAATGGTCAAGCAGAGTCTTATGTAAAAATCGTAAAAAAGGGAATAAAGTCCAGTTTATTAGCAAGTAAAAGTGTCAGGGAGAGTAAAATCAAACTACTGAAATACTTGATGGACTACCGAAATTCAGTACATTCTATCACGGGTTACTCCCCTGCTCAACTGGTGTTTGGGCGGAAACTCAAGTCGCGATTAGACTTAATTAACCCGAAGTTGTCATCGCCTTCGACACCGGACAGTAATAAAAATATTGTACCTACTAAACAGTGTATGCAAATTAACAAACAACAAAGAAGGATTAAAAAATGTTTCAGTAAAGGAGATTACGTATTATATAAGAAATATTATTCTAAGAGTGTTTATAAATGGGGTAAGGGAATAATTGAAAAGAGAATAGGTAAAGTACTTTACTTAATAAAGGATGTGAAAACTTCATTATTCATTAAAAAACATGTCAATCAAATAGTACAATATAAAGGGACAGGAAAAGACCTAGGCCGAGGATTACCGGAAGACATCACAGACATGCTACCCGAATGCACTACGCCACCATCGTCACCGCCACCGTCGTCGACGCTACCGCCTCCGTTGCAACAGTCACCACCGCCACAATTACTGACATCGCAATTACCGTCATCATCGAACCCTATAACCCGAGGAACAGAGAATGGTGAAGAAAGATCAGAGAGGGACACCAGCCAAGAAACGGCCGAAATTGATGTGGACCAATCCATTCGTGTCGAGCGGGAAGACGAATTCTTCGAAACAGAACCACATAACAATGCGGAGAGCGAACCAGAAGAAGTGCCTAGGCGTGTCTTACGCAGACGTCCCTCGACGCTAGACTTTAGGAAGTACTTTTAAAATATTGTTCTAATAGGGGTAGGAATGTTAGATAGGTGTTTGTATGTGTGCGTGCGTGGCTGCGTCCACCACCTATCGTCATTCAATAAACAGTGCGAATCGAACTGCCAGTCGTTTCACTTGTCTCACCTGCTCGCATATATAACATCATTCAAACGTAACTACCGCGTTTACATTGAGATTTTTATTTAGATCTGAATTATATACGTATAAGGTTCAAATTAAAATCTTAACGCCAACACGATTATTAAGCTTACATATTTGAAAACTTACACTGATGCCCCTGATCGCACTACATAATAATATATGAGTAAACAGGGCATTTGCCAGATCTGCAATGTCTGTACGCACCCTTAAGTTTTACATGTTCGCTTTTGTGCGTGATTATCCGGGACATTCAAACTTGCGTGTGATTCAGTCATAGCGAATAAGGTTGTATTGTACTTTGATACGGCGTCTTAACGATGCATACACTGATCCGTTCGTTTTGTATTTAATTAATTGAAGAGTTTGAGAATAGACCACCTAGATTTATTAGGTATAATTATTAAAACAAAAGTTGAACGAGCGAAAATTCCTTAGATCCGGCAGGACTCAAACCAGCGACCTTGCCATACCGTGGCTGAAGCAAAACATTCATAGATCACTCGTAGATGGCGTTACGGCAAAAAAGTCGTTAAAACCGTAGAAAAATTCGTAAGGTCTAGGGGTTCGTACCGTAGCTCAGTTGGCAGAGCGTTTGACAAGTTATGGCGAGGTAGCAGATTCGTATCTTTGGATTTTTCTTAGTGTTCGATCTTTGTATTAATAATTATAACAAACTAGTGGAGTAATTCCACAAAAATAATTGACTATCATGGTAGTAACTCGTCGTGATATTCAATTAGTCTTTATCTAAGATGTCAGGTGACGGAACGAACAAGTCGTGTGTCTGGTGGTAAGCGACACGCCGGTCCATAGCAGTTGCAGTGCCACTCAGAGCTTTAAATTGCAAAGATTTGACTGACACCGCGCCCATCATCCTAAGACATACGTTAACAAGTCCCATGTGCCAGTAATTCTGTAATTTCATCAGCACCCCTAAACATTTGATGTAAATTATAATTATAATAACAACGCACACACTCATAGCTCTAGGGAAACCCTGTACCGTGGTTGCCATGAACAACCACAAATTACACTCAAAGTCACGAGAGAAGTAAATGTAGGCCATACAAAACTTTCTCGGAGCAATAAAAAAAGCAATAGACGGAGGCAGATGTAAATTTTTATGTTCCGCAATATTTTTCTATAATATGAAATGACGGGACGAATAATTCGTGCATCTGGTGGTACGCGACACGCCTGTCCATAACAGTTGCAGTGTCACTCCGAGCTTTAAATTGCAAAGGTCTGAGGGGCACTGCCATTGCACCCTGTCACCCTGAGACATAAGTTGATAAGTCCTACGTGTCTGTATTTTCACCAGCACTCTTACCCTTCAAAACCAGAACGCAATACTCACATTACTGCTTGGCGTCAGAAATAGGTAAGGTACGCAGTACTTCCCTGAACGAACAGTTTCACAAGGCCAAGATTTTAGGAGGTGAGGTGTGGAGGGGGACGCCTCTCGCGTCACGTAATCCACATGTTTAAAATTAATATGAATAACATACGAATAAGCGGAGAAAATTCGACTCAGTTACGACGTAACGATGGCGAATAACGGTGCAGCGGGCGGTGCGGCGCGCGGCGTGTCGTTAAGAGGAAGAGCAGTAGAAAAATTCCTAATCTTCGATTTGATTTTAGAGGGGTATATCCACTTTAAAGTTAAAAATAAAATATTGTATGAGTAACTACACGATATATTCAAGCATAGACATTAATCGGAAACATAAAACAATAAAGTTTCCTCGATAGATAAAAATCACGAAATGACCTCTAATTTTCACATTTTTTCGATTTATCCTTGAAATGCTACAGGTTATTAGGACAAAAATTAGATAAATAATTATATTTATGCATGATCGACAACTGTCACTACGGACTTTTTTTAATCCCTTTAGTTTTAGAGTTATTCCGCTAAAACGAATTTGGTACTTTTAATGCGAAAATTCAACATCTCCTGTCGCATGTCACGCGAACTTTAGGCATATATTTGTTTCACAAATTTGGGCGAAGCCAATGTCAAAACTTTTTTCGCATGAGAGCTCGTAAATAGCTGGGTAATTTTCAACACTGGCCCAATGCGGGATTGGCGACTTTACACGTTTTTCGAGTGTTGTGAACCTTCTTCGATGTGCAGGTTTCATAACGACTATGTCCTTCACCGAAAAGCTTACGGTAAATTTCAAATTCAATTTCGCACATAAATTCCGAGAACGGTCTCTTATTGACAGGCGATAGGTGAATGAGCTACCACGGCTTTTTAAGTCATAAAAATATTAATTTATAGGATCGCAACTAGTTAGCACAGAAGCTCCACTACCTACACTCGGATTTTTAATTGAGGTAATAAATTGGTGATTAATAGGTTGCTAGTTTTTAAATGCAATAAAAATAGTTTTGTCGTTAAAGATCGAGTTCATCGACTAACTCAGTAGATGTTCCTACATAGTAGGACGAAACGAGTAGAGACGAAATGTCATTTAATTTGTTTGAAAACTTTTTTGCCAAATCATTACGGTGACAACTGCGCTCCGATGGGCCTGCCAGAATTCGAAACAATTGACGGGTGTCGTCAACTGTTTCACTTCAAATCGACCAGTTTAACTTACTTTGCTATAATGGACGAAAACTAAAAAAAATACATATTTAATATTTAATTACCGATGAAATGTAATTCCGTTTGTTTTGTTATTAGATGTTTTGCTGTTTTTTCCACACCACCGAATGAAACAGCCCCGCATAGTTAGAGATATTATCTTAAATTACAATAAATACCGAATAGGTATTTTTGGAATATACCAAGACGTACACACAGGCCAGTTGTTGGCGCAGTACTTTTTTAGCTTCCTAATTTGTGATTTCAGTGCAAACGAGAGTTGATATTTAAAAGTGATATAAGGCCCATTTACCTGATGAGTTGTCAGGGACGGATGGCCTTTATTCCGTCTCTATTTCTGGTTATATACTCGATGACGAAGATACTTTGATGTTCATTCATACATGTACTTCACGCCTTATTCCCATCGGGGTAGGCAGAGACAACAGTTCACTTCCACTTGACACACATCTTTCACCTCATCATCACGCATCAGTGCTTGCATACACGCTAGTCGGTTAGGGGTATTTCTGACCTGGCCCTTCTTTAGAATGACCTCATTTGGTCATGGTAAGTTCACCTTGGTCGGCCTTATACCACACTCGCCTCATAAATCTCTTTCGTCAACCTTCTTTCATTCATTATCTATACATGTCCGAACCATCTAAGCATCCCTTTCTCTATCTGTGTCCCTATATCTTCTTCCACGCCGTAACGCTCTCTTATCACATTGTTCCGTAATTTATTCATCACAGTCACTCCAGCCATACTTCTCAAAGGTCTCATTTCTACTGCATTAATTCTACTTTCGTGTTTCTTTTGCCAAACCCAACTTTCACTACCACACAGACATAAACTGTTACATTTTGATGTAAATTATATTAAGAATAACAACGCACGCACTCATAGCATCGCACTAGGGAAACCCTGTGTCGCGCTTGCCATGGACAACCACAAATTACATCCAAACTCACGAGAGAAGTAAATGTAGGCCATACAAAATTTCTCTCGGCCCGGGTATCAAACCCGGAACCTCTGCGTGTTAGACCAGCAATGGACGGAGACAGGTGTACAATATTTTTCTATAATATCAAGTGACGGGACGAATAATTCGTGCCCCTGGTGGTAAGCGACACGCCTGTCCATAACAGCAGTGTCATTAGTAGCTTTAAATTGCAAAGGTCTGAGGGGCTTTGCCATTGCACCCTGTCACCCTGAGACATAAGTTGACAAGTCCTATGTGTCTGTAATTTCACCAGCACCCTTGCCCTTCAAAACCGGAACCCAGACTGCTCACATCAATGTGGCAGTAGTTCCTACTACTTGGTGTCATAGAAAAAAAGTTATACTTGCATATGGAACGTTTATTTAACTTTTATATTTAATAATTTTAAAAGTAAAATAACCATAATAGAGTACACCACTCTTCAAAGTATTATGATATTATATGCCGTGTCATTAAAGGGACAGACATACAGGACAAAATTCTTTGTTGATAATTACACCCTATGACATTCACATAACGTGGAATAAAGTGACAGCTTGTGCAGCTTCATGTGTGGTTCAATATACCACTTATGTTGTATTGGTATTGTATTGTATTTAGTGTCTTCTAATAGACGATAAAAGACAGGCATTTGTAAAGCAAATATCAAAGAAAAGGAAACGACATCGTTCATGCAATTATAACTATAGTTTTCAATAACAGTGACGGCATCATGCAAGACGTTTAATAAAAAATTTCAATTCAATATTTTTATATGGAGCTTGTCCGAATGAATGCAATAAAAATACTGTAATACTTGCACATTATTAAATATCTTCTTCTCTTTCGTATGACTTTTGACAGAGTGATCGTGGTCAACACGGGGTGCGTTTGTTAACGGCTGATGTGGCTTGCCTCACGACATCTCGCCTTCTCTCTCTGTTAGTGGACTCCCTCGTGCACGTGCGTGTAAAGGATCAGATTTTATTTGATCTGTCCATCGAATGGGTGACTTTTCGCGCAGTCTAGTGCCCTCCACACTGCCTTGCACAACAAGAGGCTATATGGAGTGAAAATTCCGTCTTGAGATAAATTATTTAAAAATAATAATAATAATAACGTACACACTCAACATAGCATTAGGGAAACCCTGTGTCGCGGGTGCCATGGACACACACGTAGACAACCACAAATTACACCCAAACTCACGCGAGAAATAAATGTAGGCCATACAAATATTTCTCCCGGCCCAGGAATCGAACCTGGGACCTTGACGTGGCAGTCCGGCATGGTAACCGTTCGGCCACAGAGGCAGTTAAAGTATTAACTATAGTCATCATATTATTAAATATAGTCACCATCATTAAC